ATATATATATATATATATCCGATGGGTTCGATACGAGACTCTGTCAAAGCTTAACCTCGTCAAGTTATTCGCGATTACCATCATCTTTCTTGGAAAACGGATGAAGCTATAATGGGGAATAAATGTAGTTAACCTCTTATGACCGCTAACCAAGTCGAGGGTTAGATTGAGGGGAGAACTACTGAAATATTGAGTGCGTCTGCACAGTGAAGTATGAAAGTCAAATAAGTCATGGTTGTACGGCAGTGAAGCATCGGTGTTGAACACTGATGTCATGCTGTCGATGATGATGATGATGATGATGGTGATGATGATGATGATGTGCACATCCGTGAGCGCGCTTGCTTGGTATTGGTGAGCGTCTGCTGTCTCCGTACATCTACAGAGAAGCTAAGAACCACACACCCCTTGCATTGGACTGCCAAACTCTTGTGCGGTCAGTGGAAGACTGACGATACCCTGGAGCACTACTTGCTGACAGAACAACTAAGGTATGTACTGGAGCAACGTACGGATGCTGCTTTTCTACTATTGTTAAAATGTGTGAGGTCACCTAGAGAAGAACACGATTGAGTATTTTACAAACCAACTAAAAAAACAATGAGGACAGTAAACACAAACCTGGAAGCGAAACGAAAGGCCTGTTTTATTGTTCTTCGGGAACAAAAAGCTTTCTCTGAATTGAATCAAACCGGTGCTACCCGGCCCACCTCCTTCTTTGAGTAACTGGAGATTGTATAGACCCGTACTGGCTTGTTGATCGTTAACTGACACGTGGGCGTAATACGGCGGAAGTGACCGTTCATCAATCCGCTCGAACTGTCTCTCAAGGACCCGTGCCAGAAACGAGGTTGATGGAGGCCAGATAACAGACTGAAGGATAGTTAGCCTCAAATTTTCACTCGGTGGTGGTAGTAGAACTCTGCCAAAAAAATCGGACATGTCCTCTTTGAGTGGGGACACGGCCTGCCGGGTAGTTATCCAGTGCCGAAAACAACCTCCACTATCTTTGATCTTCTTTCCGTAAGAACGACGCAACAAAACGGACTTGGATCTGTGGATAGGAGGCGAAGCGAGACACGGCGCAGTGCGTTCCACTTCACTTGAAGAAGGTAAAGAATGACCAGGGTATTACGCAAGACAAAATGCACATATGCTGTTGCAATTACCACATATTATAATGCGGTAAGAATGCTACTGGATGATAGTGGTGAGAGAACCATGCTTGAGTCTGTCAATGCGAGGATTTCAAAGCGTCACTTGGGAAGCAACATCTGTTGGTATGGGTTGCTTTAGCATTACACGAGATCTGAGGAAAGCACAGTATGATGGAATTCACACATAAGGATGGCGGCTGGCTAGCGAACCGCTCAGCACAACTGGAGCCTTCATATCTTCATGGTCCTTGGCTTATAGATCCTTTGTGTTCAATATTCTCAGAAATCTGGCATCTATAGGAAAGTTATCGAGCCGGAATTTCTGTAAATCAACGCTCGATATACACAAACTAAGGCATTTCAACAGGGTCAGTGATAGGTTCCACTATCAATCTGCTATCCTATCGAAGATAAAGCTACCAAAAGCCGGCACCTTGATACGGTGGTTGGGCTTGAGCGCTGTTGTGGTCATGAAGATTACAATGGATATGATTTCATCCCATAAGTCTCAAGAATGCCTGAGGGAACGAGTATTGTGCCACAAGGAAGCCTTGGAGAATAGAGAAGCGATCCCCCCTGGGAAGAAAGTGTTTTTTTTCCTGGCGATCGGCGACAGATTGCAGTCAGGAGACTTGGAAAAAATAGATAAAGTCATTGGAACAAGCCTTATTAATAGTAGCTCGATCTGCTAATCAGAAGTCAACTTAACATCTACTGCAGAACACTCACAAAAATAGTAGTGGAGGAGAACCAACCAGTCGGACCATGAACTCGGCCAAGCAGTTCGGATAGAATGTAGTCGGTATCACAAAGTAACGACCGTAGGGCAAGCGGTTCAAGCGCAACCAAACAACACGACTGTTCCGATAAACAGAGTTGATGACAAGATGTACAGGTTCGTTCAGCGATCGGATTGGAACAGTTCGGTTAGCCTCGACCTGAAGCACAGAAAAATGTACTGTAAATGACGTAAGGATCTACTGTTCTCAGATAATTTTTTAGCAAAAGAGCCTCAACTTTATTCACCATTACGATATGATATTTATTCATCCTTAAATGCGTAATTTTTTGTATTCGGTAGCGGCTTACTAACGGCATGGTGCGCCAGCTAGACTTGTTTACAACTTTGAGCGCTTGCACTATACTACTTATTAGTAGCTCAATTCGTACACTTAACAACTGTACAGTCTGCATATGAAATCGAGTCTCCCAGAGGCATGCATGCGCATATCTTAAACTAGAAGTGCACCGAACGCCTAAATCGGCCGATTTTCCTACCACATCGACGGTCCGGATCGATTGACTCACACGTACTGGCAGTCCGAGCCTACTGAAGCGAACGACGTGGTGGCTTTGCATCAAATTTGTGTGGTCGACCAGATTCAGTGGATAGAGGCTGCAATCATCGGTGCTAAGTGCAGGTTATTCTCACTTCTTGATGGTGTTGTATAGAGCTTAGTACTCCGGTAATTAAGCTACCCAATTGATTCATTAATGATTAGGCGCCGTTTCACGGAAAAGTATTCTGCTTGTCCTGTCAGCATCCAAACAGGATCACCTCGCTCTTTGATTATTTAGCTATAAGATGGAGTATCGATCACACTCCGCTATCACCAGTGTTCTACAAACGTTCTAGGAACTGACCATTTGGTTATGTCAACTCAAGGTCCTCGCACATTGTAATCTATGGTTATGAGATTCACGGGAGTTTTAGCGAGAACTTTAGGAGCTTGTGTTCTACGCGTTGAGCTGCGCAACTTGGTTGCAAACAGTCCATCACTAATCGAGGATCTATCCTCAGTGTGCAGTCAAGTGGTGCGTCTGTGTGAATACCCAACTGCAACGGAATTGACTAGTTCGGCAAGGAACAACGGTTGTCTGTACAACCTGAGTAACTAATGTTTCCATTGGTAGCGGGTGGGCAGGTCTGTTGTAAAGTGTGGCCCAACGTCGGTTAAACTAATGATGGGTGCTAGTTGAATGTGTGACTGGGACGATGTTTTAACACCATCGGAAAACTGATCTGATTCCTCACGCTTCTGTTTCAAATGCAATTACGAAAATCCACAAATCTGTTCAGACACTTTTAAGCGCAAAGGACCAACTATACGGAAGAGAACATTTCCAACGCTCTTCATTGAGACACCTACTTTTAACAAAAGCGATGATGAATTTTTAAATGGGCGATCGTTTTTCATAAAAATATGAGGAAACGTACCACCTAAGCCTACTGTTATCTATACATCCGCGACCAGTTTCGCTGCGAGAGGGATGAGTAACCAAACCCGAAAATTTGCAGCAAGAAATACGTTTTCCCATCTCTTGGTAAGGGGATCCTGATAGCAGAAATATACCAAAAAATGCAGAACCACAAGTAGTAAATTACTTGGAACTATATCATGGCCCGTTTGAGGGATTCAATTAGAATGGGGCCGATCGCTGAGAACGATACGGCTTTGATAAATCTCACTAGGCATTTGCAGTTAGTGAATAAACGGTTACAATGCTCAGTCAAATGCAGTCCGTAGTTCTACCAGGACAGTTCATACGGATTGGCAAGATTCACCTACACTCAAATTTCAATAACCCCTGAACCATAGTAGTCACAGTTTAACAGTGTAACTTACACGGAATACACTCATTCCAATATGATATAGCCCGGTTGTGGATGCTAGCCGCTCCGGGCTTCTTTCCGTCTTTTGAAAGAGATATATGACCAAGGAAGTAGAGGGTCGACGAGGAACATCCAATGCGAACTAGGGTAGGTAAGGAAGATAACAAGAGCCTATAAAATGCATAATAACCAAAGAAGCCGCAGAAATGTGCGCAGACCACGAACATTATGAAAGTTGTAAAAGCTCCCCAACACCCTCGTTGGGCCTCGGCATGCTGTGTCATTCAACAACGACCCAATTAGTGGCATCCTTCTTTCTACCTAGCCACCCAACGGAAGAGAGTAATCAGTGCACACAACGACATAAAGAATGGACCGTTAGTTTACCAGCGCCCATAGACTTCAGAAAACCTAGTTTTCATTGTAACCTTCGTCATATTATCCGCAGCTGGCGATCCTGCATCCGATACTCAAGCTGCGGACCCCAGGTACAGGCCGCGTGTGATTCAATCTTTTTTCATCCAATGAATGTCACAGAGACACTTTGCTGCTCCGGTAAACTGTACATGCTCAAACGGGATGATCGAGGCAGCACTCACGAACGTACCCTACGACTACAGCAAACAGACTCAGCAACCTTATGAGTAGTGTATTACGTCTTTACAGGCATAGCGATATCTCAAATATAGTAGCAACTGAAACATGAGGCGACCTGGTGCAGCAAATTCTGTTGCTTGAAAGCATAATAAACAGAAACTCAGCTGGGTTCCAGTCTCGCTCAAAGCCAGATTGGCTTGAAAATGAGTGTATTTCGCAGACATACCACAAGTTACCATTTGTCAGCCTGCCCGCCTAACATGAAAACGAAATAACATTCAGTGTATGTGACCGCCTTACTTTATCCAAGTAGCAAAGGTCAATGAACTCCCTACAAATGTCAATGCAGAAAGTCATTCCTTACATAATCAATTGAGCCGACTAATTCGAATCAGTTTGCATAAATTAGTTTCAAATAGTCCGTCCGGTTCCGTAGGGTCGCATCATTTATTTGATTACTCTGAAGGATTCAAATGACCCTAATGAGTCTTGGCACTGTCTTGCTAGAACCGTCCGGAGCGGCAATTCTAACGACGCCGACTTGAAAACATAATGCGGTAATTGAAAAAGTAAGATTTGTCAACTGGAGAGATTGTCACCAAAGTGAACGCAGTTAGGAGGACCGTTAAATATCCAGCGTTTTGGAAACCAAAGTATATACGGAAAATGAAAATAAGCGCCTGAAATCATGTGGGCATCCCCATAGGGTAAGTTGTTGGGGCGTTAGTACCAGGTTGTGTGGTCCATTTATGAAGCGAAACGGAGGAAAATATTAACTCTTGTAAGAACATCCGGTTCATTGAGAAGCCCTAACTACTGGAAACTGTTTTGTCTATAATTCCTAGTACTATGTATGGTGATTTGCTCACAGCTAGGGCAGGGAGAGAACTTGCTACTGGATGCGAAATGGTTATACTGAGAAATTATCGAAGGTTTTTCCAAAACGGAGGGCCAAAAATTGCAGGAATCAGCCACTGCATTGTTAAGGCGGAAGTCTGTACAGTCCTTTATTTGGAAGGTAAAAGTTCCCGAGAACTGAAGAATAAACATGTTAATTCCTCAGATTGTTTTACTCTCCAAGAAGAGAAGACACGAGAGAAATGCCCAAACTATCGACCTGAACTCATTGGTCGACTGTCACAACGAATATTAAACGTCGTAGACACTGCTGATACACTATCAAATCACACCAACAAAATCTTGGCTTGTCCGATAAGTTGTTTCTAACAGGCAGCAGGCAGTGCTACTCAGTTCGCAGATGCACTACAAATACAGGGCGGCAAAACACGCCTTCGCCGTTGTAATAAATATATTTTTGTGTAAACTAGCTTGTTTTGTGCTCCCCATTCGTGGTTGTCTACGCAGCACTTGTCCTTAATGACCTACGTGAAACGGAATGACGACTGTGAGAAATTCACCGTGGTATGCATGCATAAAAGAGTATTTAAAATCTGGTGCGTTAACACCACACATAGTGGAATAGTTCCACCATACATTCCAGAAATCCGTAAACAAGACCTGGTCAAAGGTGAAATTTTATTGTTTCAGTGTAAAAAGGGCCTTGTGAGATTCGGGTCACTCACGCATCCAAACACAGATAGAAGAGCATCCGAGGTGAGTTGATAGTTCCATGTACGCTAAGGTGGTCCCACGAGGGTCAGCTAATGCGTGGTCTGGTGGTTACCTGTTTGATACTACTTGGCATTAGGTTGCGTGAAAGAATTGTTTACGGCCAGTTGGTGCGCGCCAAAAAGAATCAAAAGTTTTGCACAGTTAAGCTTTTAACGATACAAACTAATGCTTCCTATTAATATTAGTAACAGTACTTGGAGGATATCACCCATTGAATTTCACCTGATCACCTACGTCGGTAAATAAAAACATCTTGCACACAACGGTGATTACAGAGTGCATACAAAAGGTTAATGTGGCGGAACGGCATACAGAAAGAAAGCACGATTAACTCTCTAACCAAGCATTGTCCAAAGCTTTTGTATTACAGTTTAACACCTTGTGATTCTTTCGTAAAGTCATAAATCATACGTACACATGGGAAAATTAAACCAAGCGCCACGTGAATGACAACTTGTCAGGGAATAAGTGATTCAACACACTGAAGAGATGAAACGACAGAACTGGAAAAACTCACCTGAGGATTATTAACGAAGGTATCGTCACAGTTTAAACAACCACCACTCATTTCATTGGTCCAGCAACTGTGGATGGTAAAATCTGTCCATAGTTCTCTCAGTCGAAGAGGGGAAGGACGATCGCTGTCAAGAGAATGACCATATTCCGAAGGAACCACCACCAAACGACCATCACGTGCATGACAAACGACGTCGGGTGGAGCCATTCTTATTGGAGGAATGAACTGAAACCAGGCCTTGCTGTCCCCAGAGAGGCTGCCGTTACCCATCGGCGTGTAGCAAAGAACAACATAGTTGAATTGTCTTAGGAAGTCTTCAAACCGCATCCAGAATTCTCCGTTTTCCGCACTGTCATTAGTACAAAGCGAGTGACAGAAAGAGTGGTCAACGAGATCCCAGTCCTGTGAATCCAAAAACCAAGAAGCAAGAGAACCTGGCTGAACTCGAGTAAGCCGGTTATGAGCGATCAATCCAAATAGCCACTTATGTGACTTATTCACGATGAAACCTGCTTATTGTACTGATGGCAATCAACAGGTGCATTTTCCACACTGGGTCTATAATTCTAAGGGCTACCTATGTCTGCGTTATACCGAAAGATTTCAATAATCTCGATATACAGGTTCATCGGGTCTGCGGGGCGGAGATCCTTCTACGTGGTGATCTGATAGAAGCTCGGCTGTGGAAAAGTGGGTAGAGCCAACCGATGGTAGCACGAGTGTGGGGTGAAATGTATGCAGTAGTCACCTGAGTTCACATATGCATACATGTTTACGGTGCGGTGTCAAGGTCAGTTAAATTAGGCTGCGTTCTTCTCACCGTCTTCAGAAAAATGAAGTAAGTTGCACGTCCAATAATCAGGTGAAACTTGCGTTGGAAACCGATGGCTAGAATGACTGCGGGGTTTTTGGGTTTGTGGTATGGGGTGACCTTGCCGAACATTCACCGAGCCATTATACTCACAGCAACGTACTTACCATTTATTTTCTCGCATAAATCCAGCCCTCCGGCTACCTACTTGCAGCCGGGAGGAACGCCAAAAACCGCTGGGTGAAGACAACCGGTGAAACCAAGAACAATATTAACTTACGGATGATCCCTCGGAAAAAGCTCCTTTCCACGTTCCGTGTCCCCATGGATTCATTAGTCGGACCAAACGTACAAGTGAGTCATCGTTGGAAGATCCTGAATCTGCACTTCGTTTGGTCGGCACAGCACACAGTCGGGTGACCGCATAAGCATGCCCAACGATCAATCCCAATTCAGTCTCTCGTTCACACCCATCAGGGTCGTCTGTCTACGAAAACGACAAGAGAAGTGAACAACGGCAGCATTTCAGAACAGCAAAAGCTGCGCATTTGAAGTGTCACGCTGTGACATAAACTAGCCTGTCAGCAGAAATCACACACAGGAGCCACTTAAAATTGATATGCACATGAAGACAACAAGGTATGTTGGTAGGGAGAATTCAATTAGTACTTGCTCAAGTATTTTTCGAAACTCGCTATTGAAAGCCTGTCCAAAGGACAGATTCAGTATTCAACTGCTCGCCTTGGAACATACGAAAAACGGATATATCATAAAACTCTGACGTGTATACCAACCCAGAATACTGTGCGTTCTCCCATCTCATTACTTCTTGAGCTTCTAAGTATAGTATGAGTGCGACCACGTGGGATAACCCAAGTTGATAAACAAACGTTTCGGCTCCGAGTTGCTGTGCCACATGGTCCTCAGATGGAAGACTGCAATTTGCCTAGTTGGGTCTGGTATCGCGAACTGCGAGCGAACTTGAAAAATAAAAGCAAACTAAGAGGATAAACTATGTAGATGACATTCCGAGCTTTACTTCGAATTCTGATGGCCCAGCAGTGACAGATCATCCGTGAATTCATCAGCAGATGTAAGTGCATACCAGCCGTGTTGCGGCGATTGACTGAGGTTTGGTATGTCCCTATGAGAGTAAGTCAGAGGTACATAGTGAGTGACCTGACAAGATTAAAGCAGCAGGATCAAACAAGACTCAGGAAATTCAGATTTCGCTCAAATGTGCAGCCAGTACTGAGTTGTATGCAAACAACCAAACAGATTCTGTGAGACTTTGGTGAATAATGCAGGAAGTGTCGTCCGACTTGAACTGCACATTGACTTTGCGAAGAGAAAACGGGGACGAAACTAAGGTATTCATTGTGATATCCCTATCGAAACTCCAAATCACGTCGTAGGGTTCAAGGCCCTGATAAAAACGTTGCTGCTTTTGTAAGATACGATCCAGAAGGAAATTCAGACACATTAATTTAATCGTACTCACTGGAGGGTGGGTGGCCCAAGGAACTTGAAGCTATCAGGTAGATCAAACTTGTAATAACTAATACATGAAAAACTCCATGATACCAAATGTGCTCTATTTTTATCGGCGAAAAATTTCAGTAACAGGAACCCTAAAAATATTGACGTGAAGTAGAGCAATCATCTGAAGCTACAATGGACACAGCCGTGTGGAACCAAAAGACAGAAAGTTTGGACCACAATCACACTGTAATCTGCTTCAAGAAACAAAGGGCTTGCAGCATTGGGCGCTAACATACATTTACCACTCTTCCTAAGTGCGTCCAATGCATCCTGGAGCTAATCAGCAATGATATAGTCTCTTTTTTACGAATAGTAGATGGCCACATCCAAAAATAAACAAAGCAAAGAATAGGTTGTATTAGAAGGAACCAAGAAGGCTATGAACAATGACAATAATAATCATTCAACCATAATACCCTTCAGGTGAATGAGTGCCATGTCCCCCCGAAGGCAGCACGAGAGCTGAAGCACTGCCAATTAGTTCAAGTTTAGACAACAGCAGTCGAGATACCGGAGTTGGGTTCGAACCACGGATCTCCTGGTCAGTAAATTGGCGTCCTAACCACTGAGCTACCTCGAGCTCAAGATGGCTACATACGTCACAGACGGTGTGCAAAAACATACCTAACTCATGAACTAAGAACTTTAGGCATTGCAGTTGGGGGGAATGTGCAGAGGTAGCAGAAGTCTTACCGAGATGGCCGACGCAATTAGTGTCTTGGTCAGCTGGTTCCTCAATAACAGTTTATAGATATATTCACACAAGGTTTTATTCTTCCAAACCGGAACAGGATGTAGTAGAGTGGCACTTTGACGAGAAACACCACAACAAGAAAGAGATACAGCGAGTTTCGATTCATCGAGAGGTACGTTCAGAGACGGTGGGAGGTCTGGTGTCACACACAACCGAAGATCTGTTCCAGTCTGGTTGAATTCGAGACATTCCGTTAAACCACCGGTAAAATCAATGAGAGCATCGGCTAGTTCGCCGCCTTCTAGCGCTTCGTAACTGCCTAAAAGTCTGGAATCAAGGAAGAGTTATAATGTTTTACAGCGAACAACCTGATGGATGGATGCAGAAAACCAACGAGATGGAAACAGAACTCAATACAAACAAACAGGTCGATTTGCTAGCTACTTGGCGTAAGCTTTTTCCAGAAGCGAACACCAAAACTCGTCGGAGTTATACGAGCTGCAATACAATAGTTCGCCATTCACTGTTGGCAGAAGATCATCCACAATCACATGGACCCAAGTACCGAAACGCCAAAACCGAAACTCAAACACGCCACAGTATGCATCCCAGGAGTTCAGTGGTGGTGTACAAATGACAACCTGAAGGGGAAAAGTCAAATTCGGCGTTATGGGCGTCATCTCTCACTTTCTGAAATACGCCTTTGTGTAACGAAAGACAGGCGCAGGCTGCAACGAACCAACAATTTCCAAGACGGCCCTGCCGACAAGCTGCTGGACCGTTTGCAGCTACGAAACACGGATTGCTGACCAAATCGGAAGGACGTTGCCATACTATTTCGAGATGTCTGATATTGTTGGTCTCAGCCGTGAGACTACTCCGGACTGCCGGGAACTCTGGATCCACAAATAGCATTCCTGTTTTTCTGGACCGTTGCCGTAAACGGTCCGCATTTTGTCTCCTGTATTTCATCAATTCGGAATCATACTAGTATCCTAAAAATAGGTAAAAATAGAGCAAGAGAAAGCGGAAGACCTGGTCAAATTCAAGTTTGGATGTAAGTGTCAGGCTGCCATATTGGCTTATATTGGCGACTGGATGAGGGCTTGATCCTCAAGACTGAAGAACAATAGCTGAGAAATTGGTGGCAAGCGAGAACTGCAAGATGATGTATCACAATCTAGAGGTGTGGCATAATATCCTCTGCGGAGATAATGCGATTGGAATTCTTATATTTGGCAACGCAGCAATATCTCAAGAAAGGAGTGACTGGAAAATTAAACCAAGCTCTGGTTAACTAGCTGATCATTGATGTATTGACCCCGTAGAAACGCAAACAATATAAAATAATCTAAATAATTCCGCCTCGTGGTTTGGCATGCGCTTCACACCGGCAAAGTGTAGAGTGCTACTACAAGACTGGGTGAACTCGAACCCTAGCCTCATGCTTGCGGATGAACCGAATGAAGTAGTAGACAAATTTGTTTACCTGGGCAGCTATATCAGTCCCGGTGGTCTCGTAGGAGATAATATTTCCACCCGGATTGGGAAGGTCAGAGCAGCTTTTGTGAACCTACGTCACTTGTGGCGTAGGCGTGACCACTGCTTCTCTGTCAAGGGTCGAGTTTACAATGCTGCGGTGCACTCCATAGTACTATATAGATCAGAAACCTGGCCGCTGCGCGCTGAGGACGTCAAAAGACTTTCAGTGTTTGACCATCGATGCCTTCGGAGCATTGCTCGAGTATGGTGGGAACACCAAATAAGCAATGCTAAAGTTCGTCGAATGGTACTGGGGAGAAATAACTCACCCTCGATTGGTGAACCGATCACACTGCATATGTTGCGCTGGCTTGGCCACGTGCTGCGTATGCCAGTCGACCGAATTCCTCGAAGAGCTCTTTTCGCACAACCACGTGAAGGGTGGAAGAGAGCTGGAGGCAGTCAAACAAGGACTTGGCAGCGAAGTATAAAAGCCAGTACCAGCAAACTCAGCTGTGCTGGTGATTACCATCTTCCTGGATGGGGAACCCGAGACGGGCCACATCAATGGTTAGAGACACTGTGAGACATGACCCAGTCGCGCCCTCAATGGTGCTTATATAATGCATTCAATGCATAGCTCCATTCCCAATTCCCGCACTTAACAGTTCATGCGACAGTGCCGTATTTACGCACTAATTTATCAGCACCCCTCAAATGGCAAGAA